TCCAGTTCTGGGCCCCTCAGTTCAAGAAGGACAGGGACCTGCTGGAGAGAGTCCAGCGCAGGGCAACTAAGATGATTAAGGGAGTGGAGCATCTCCCTTATGAGGAAAGACTGAGGGAGCTGGGTCTCTATAGTTTGGAGAAGAGGAGACTGAGGGGTGACCTTATTAGTGTATATAAATATATAAAGCGGGAATGTCACGAGGATGGAGCCAGGCTCTTCTCAGTGGCAAACAATGATAGGATAAGGGGCAATGGGTACAAACTGGAACACAAGAGGTTCCACTTAAACTTGAGAAGAAACTTCTTCTCAGTGAGGGTGACAGAACACTGGAACAGGCTGCCCAGGGAGGTTGTGGAGTCTCCTTCTCTGGAGACATTCAAAACCCGCCTGGACACGTTCCTGTGTAACCTTATCTAGGTGTTCCTGCTCCGGCAGGGGGATTGGACTAGATGATCTTCTGAGGTCCCTTCCAATCTCTAGCATACTGTGATACTGTGATACAGAGGGAGGAAGGAAGGGTTCCTTAATCAAAAAGCTGCAAATAAAAGACATCCAGATAAATGTCCTAAGTGGCAGCTCCTCCTGTTGTAACAAATGCCATCCCAGCTCCACCAATATGTAAATGCCTTTGTTTCTCTTGAGAGTTTAATTCACAAGCTAAAGTCAGTGCCAGAGATCCTCAACGACTTCCACCAGTTTGGGAAGAAGCTGATGCTGTGTAACAGTAACACTCACAGCAATACATTGTTCTTACTTAGAAATGTATCCTCTGCGGATTGGGACACACTTTATCTGGCTGTTAAAAGCTTTAATCTACAAAATTACAGAAATTACTTTATTTACACAAGAGGATATACAGGGAATAAACAGTTCATTCAAGCTCACAAGCACAGGAAGTGCCAAGAGGAACATTAGAAAACAGACCTTCCAGGTTGCCTGCCTTCAGCACAAGCTAAGTATTTTTAAAACAGATTATTTTTATCTTCAGCATTACATCTCTTAGCGCTAATTAAGAAGTAAATAAAATGAAAACAACCTTGAGAATCATAGAATTGTTTGAGTTAGAAGGGACCTTAAAGATCCCCTAGCTCAACCCCCTGTCAAGGCAGGGAGATCTTCCAAAGTCAGAAATCTTTCCACCTGACACCAGCATAGCAGCAGTTTTATTATGAATATTTTTTTGCTTCATTATCTTCCTAATAACTGAGCAAGTCTGAGCAAGGCAGCTTCCTGACAGGCTCCTGCGAATGTGCCCACAGGACTTCTGGCAGATGCAAAGACCTGCTTGCTCACTGGTGAGAATCGCCGGTAGTCCAGCATCCAGCTCTGGGGCAACAACACAAGAGGGACACGGAGCTGTTGGAGTGAGCCTAGAGAAGGCCACAAAAATGCTGTGAGGGCTGGAGCAGCTCTGCTCTGGAACCAGGCTGAGAGAGCTGGGCTGGTTCAGTCTGGAGAAGAGAAGGCTCCAGAAGACTTTACAGCAGCTTCTGGGGCCTACAGGGACTACAGAAAGCCTGGAGAGGGGCTTTGGGCAAGGGCCTGTAGGGACAGGACAAGGGGGAATGGCTTTAAACTGACAGAGGGGAGACTGAGATGAGCTCTTAGGCAGAAGTTCTTCCCTGTGAGGGTGCTGAGGGGCTGGCACAGGGTGCCCAGAGAAGCTGTGGCTGCCCCATCCCTGGCAGTGTTCAAGGCCAGGTTGGACGGGACTTGGAGCAACCTGGTCTAGTGGAAGGTGTCCCTGCCCGTGGCAGGGGATTAGAACTGAATGGGCTTTAAGGTCCCTTCCCACCCAAATATTCTAGAATTCTGTAATTCTATGATTTCTAAAGGAAATAATGTTTACTCACTTTTTCCCCAAAAGCTGCTCAGATGATGAGAACAGACCTAGTCACACAGTATCACACAGTATCAGTATGTTAGAGATTGGAAGGGACCTCAAAAGATCATCTAGTCCAATCCCCCTGCCGGAGCAGGAACACCTAGATAAGGTTACACAGGAACGTGTCCAGGCGGGTTTTGAATGTCTCCAGAGAAGGAGACTCCACAACCTCCCTGGGCAGCCTGTTCCAGTGTTCTGTCACCCTCACTGAGAAGAAGTTTCTTCTCAAGTTTAAGTGGAACCTCTTAACCTCTTTAGTGGTGGGGATAGTGGAACCTCTTAAAACCCAGTAGTGCCAAATGTTTGCAATTTTTTTTACAGTTAGTGGAAAATGAAGCAGTCTTCACTTACGACAGAAACAAGATATATCATCAGTCTCTCTAAACCTAGGTAGACAGATCCTTCATTTAAGTATTTGGAAATTGATGGATTGGAGAAAAGAAAAATGAAAAAAAGAGGTTCAGTGAACATTAAGCTACCATGTTTTCAAATTCATTAAATCAGTGTCACAGTTGTCAATGCATTTCAGTATATGCCACATGTCTAAGGACATAAAATGTTGTGCAAAAATAAACCATACTGCTCTCCTGCCACCTTTTAATAGCACAGTCCTTCCACCAGTGCAATTCATTGTGTGTATTACTTAGCCATGCAACATCAAAAGAACATATACGGTGGAAATCAATAATCTTCACATTAAAAACTAATAAAAGTAACCTTAGATTAATGGCAACTAATTTGATACCCACAGACAAAGCCCTAATTTCCCATATGAAGCCAGAAATAACTGCACTTCTACCTCTGCCCACCTGGAATCAGTTGGGAAGGACAGGTAGAGGATGCAAGCCCTGTGACCTGACTACCTCGCCAGCTCTCTGAAGGATGCAAGGAAGGTGTGTGAAATTACAGAATCACAGAATTGTTTATGCTGGAAAGGACCTACAGGATCATTGTGATCAGTCATAAACCCAGACTGCTAAGTCCATCACTCTCCATGTCCCTACATGCCATATCCACATCTTTTAAATCTTCCAAGAACAGTGACTTCACCACTGTCCTGAGCAGCCTCTTCCAGTGCTTGATATGAATTTAGTGAAGAATTGTTTCCTAATAATCAATCTAAACCTCCCCTGGTGCAACTTGAGGCTATTTTCTCTTGTCCTGTGGAAATAAAGCGAGGAATTCCTTACTGCACTCAACACTGGCTCCTTGACAAGAACTGCAGCTCCACTGAGTTTCATGGGCACTCAGACTTAACAGCAATGGAAGAAACCAGCAGCATTTGGCTCTAAGGCTCTCATTTGATGAGCATATTTCGTATTTCAAGTGAAACACAGAGTTGGGTCCTTATAATTAAAAAAAGAAAACTTGACAAATTGCACTGAAGCTATCTTGTGGCTTTTAACCTGAAACTTATTTGCTTTGCTACAGGCTCAAGTCTCAAACTTGTCACACACTGATGTACCATACCAAGCTTGCCATTTAACACACAACTCAAAAAATGGATTCTTCAGGTTTAACAAATCACTGAAGAAGACTAGAACCAGTTACAAATCATAAGGAACAGAACATGAAATTCTGCTGCTGCTCTCTGACTGTGCTGTCATAGTGTCACCTTATGCTTTTAGGACATAAATTCTGAGCTAATGAGAAAGAAGCAAAGGTCATATTTCCCAAGACAGGATTCTTAGTCAGCAATTTCATCTGTCAAACCTTTCTGCAAAATATGAGCCATGTCTCTCTATAGGATTAGTTAGCCCCATCTGGTGCACTCAGTCATTACACCACAAGAACATGCACTCGCTACTGTATGTAAGAGACAACCATCCTTTTAGAAACTGCACCTTTAAATAGTCTTCCATTGAAGGTTTCTTAATGGACCCAATGACAAGTGGCTGCACTAAAGCACTAACTCATCTCTTGATTTTTCATTTCATGTTTCAGCACACTGCACTTGTGCAAGTCCCTTTTCTAGGGCTCAGTTCTCAAGACAGTTGGACTCCTAAAAGCCTTGAATTAGAGAGATCAAACAATACTCAATCTCAAACCAATGCTTGAGTGCTTTTGAAAAATGTTGCCTTCTACTGACCTATATGCGACTCTTTAGTGTAGAATTCTCAGGGATGCGATACACAGAAAAAAAGGGTTTAATGTTCTGAAGCAAACATTGACATATTAGGTAGCATTAATGTGAGAACTCTATCAAAGCCAAGAAATTAGGCAAAGAATAGAAGATGAGAAGTAACTGATTAATGGTTTTGTGACAATTGTGTATGTTGTATTAAACTGGCTTACCATATATCTCTTTCTTTCTAAATATTAATGCCTTTCACACTGCTGCACGCCATGCTGACCTACGTATCTAGCAGAAAAGGCAGTGTCCCACAGATAATCTTCCCTCTATATGACCTATCCTTCAAAACACCTGTGCTCCATTAAACTAGGAGCAGGCAGCATTAATCCTCAAGGCACACAGTCTCCAGCTCTTACAGGGTGCAATTCCCCCTGGTCAGATATTGCAGAGATGAAGATTTCCAAACCTAGTACTAGAACATTCAGGGTTTCCCTTCCCTAAATGTCTTTTTTTCAGAAAATAAAAAACCTCCAGCATAGCAGATAAATGCATTTAAGAAAATAATTGAAAGACTTATGGGCAGTGTTGCAGGACACATCCATGACCTCATGCAACAACCTGTGATTTTACAACTAAGCTGAAGAACACATCCCCTGCAGAACTGTGACACCTTCAATTCCTGTAACAGAATTAATGAGCCTTACACTTGGAAAACTTGACAGTATTAATCATTTATCTTTTACTACATGTCTATCCCCACCACTAAAACATACATATGAAGTTAACATTTACAAACAGTTATACAGAGAGTGTTTAAGTTTCCTGATAAAGAGAAAATGCCAAACTGTTTTCTCAGGGTTACTGCAATCCAAGTATGAATATGAGTGGGAAGGAAATGCAAACTTTCAGATGCATTCCTTCAGACTCACAGATGTTCATTTTAGATGCAGCAGGTAAGAATTAGTGATACTTTTTCACCTTTCCCCTTTGCAGGACTCAGTGAACACAAGTTCTTATACACTCTCCAGAGTGCACTTACCCTTAGTTCGACTTCTTTGCCAAGTAAGTCATACATACTTGCCCCTTTGGAGGTGATTTCGGAAGCAAGCTGTCTAGCTGCCTTCAAGTCAGCAATCTGGAAACACACAGAGTAAAACTGCTGTTATTGATGTTAAAATTGCACAGGAGGTCAGCCCAGTGGCCAAAATTATACTGTAATATTGATGAAGTTGTCCACTGGAACCAGAGTGAGCACAACTTCTGCTGGGGCCCCAACATAAGTCAGCCATGGAACTGTTGGAGAGTCCATAGGAGGCCACAGAGACACTGCAAAAGCTGGAGCAGCTTTGCTCTGAAGACAGGCTGAGAGAGCTGGGCTTGTTCAGCCTGGAGAAGAGAAGATTCTGGGGAGACCTTAGAGCAGCTTCCAGTGCCTAAGGGGGCTACAAGAAACATGGGGAGGGGGTTTAGACAAGGACCTCTAAACCCAAACCACTCTGTGATTCTATGACAGATGAAGTACCATTTAGACATACATTTCTGGGTGAAACCCCAGCCACTTTAGGCCAACAACACACAAAAAAACCCCTCTTTAAAACAGTGACTTGGCCAGTTGTTGGTTTGTGTGCTGTCCCGGGCACAGGAAAGCATCACCTTTTTCACATTCAAAAGTAAAAAGTATATATACCAAAAGGTATGTGACTAACACATTGCATAGGTAATGAATACTAACCACCTAAAAGTGTTTTTTCATTGTTTCTTCAGGTGCTTTCTTCAGAGATGCACCAAACTTCCACAGAGTAAAACTTGCCTGCAGTTCTGGCATTCTCTCAAGAACAGCAGTACTGCTGCCTAACAAGCAGGCAGGACACAGTATAGCTGTAGAGGAATCAAAGACTAAAAATATGAGCATATAAAAAAGGTGCTAAAACTAACAAAAAGCAGAAACAGGAATTCCTCATACTTAGTGTTGAGTTTTCTTTCAATATCTAGATACGGAATTCATTTTAAGAACTTGAATAGCTTTGACGTCTGTTAGGGGAAGAGAAGGATTTCCCTTTCTTTCAATGCAAATGGGCTGAAAACCAACTTTAAGTCAGTATTTTGAACTCCTTCTATGCCAACAAGGTTAGTAGTTAGAAAATGGTTTTTATTCTGGCCTATTCCAATATTTCTATTTTTTCAGCAGTCAAAACCAAAGATAACCAATTTTGTGCCACTGTTGCCTTGTATTATGCTTCTGGTTGAGAATTCACAGAGAGTAAACCAAATCGTAGCATATAACCTCAACTACAGGAAGTATGAATTACAACCATACCCACTTCCGTGCAATAACATTCTCTACTTAAGACTCAAATAGAAAATTAACTTGCTTTTCATAGGTTAACACAAAACCCCTGCCCCAGAAAGAGTACAAGTTTTACTTACTTTTGAGCCAAGATCAAACTTGAACTTGCTGCTGTCTTCCTCACTCAAATTCATGTGTTCCACTCCCTTGGTATTCATAGCATCATAAAGCACAGAGGTGATCTTTAGCAGTTCCTTCACTGCGTAGCCATCTGCCTGGTAGAGGTTCTTAGTGTTGAGCTTTATGTGAGCTTTGGTAGCCTTTGGGAAGAAAGAATGAATTAATTACGTCACAAAGAACAAAATCCTCATTGACCTCTTCACACTTCACTCGAAAGCTTTTTTTTGAGGGGGCACCATGCTCTGCTTTACAGAACTAAATCTTCCTGTTTGGAAACACAAGTTTGCTTTATCAGATTACTGATGTTTCTGGAAGAAATTTTTGTGAAATGAGTGTACTTTCTGCATGTCAGAACATTTGCGGATAATTGCCAGAATGAAAAAACTCAATTTATGCATTAATTCTTCCCTGCATAATGACCAGCAAAACCCGTGTGCACCACTTATATTCAAATTAAGTGGAATGTAAGCACTGCCCAGGTCTTGTGATGCTGCTGCAGAGAGGTAAATTTCACCCTTAATGAGCTACAAGAATAAGATCAGTTATCCCAATTTAACGGTCTTCTCTTCCAGCAGTACCTTCAGAATATTTTATTTTTCTCTTCCATTTTCTCCTGCTACCATGTTACTGATTTTATTACCTTGTCTTCCATTTCTCAAAAGTACAGACAGACCAATAAGGAAAAAAAAAAACCAAACAAAACAAAAACCACTAAAAACTATATTATCTTTTTATACTTTGAAATCCTAAAGGAGAAAAAAAAGCATAATAGAAATGATACATCTGACACAGAAATGACCCAAACATTCTTCTTGAAATTCCTGACAAGATTATATTATAAAGAAATAGCCAAAAGGAGCCAACACTAAACTTCAGGTAAAACTTTGAGGTAGCCTTCCTGATAGCACAACTTTACTGGCGCAGGTTGCCCAGAGAAGCTGTGGCTGCCCCATCCATGGCAGTGTTAAAGGCCAGGCTGGACGGGACTTGGAGCAAGCTGCTCTAGTGGAAGGTGTCCCTGCCCAGGGCAGGGGGTTGGAACTGGATGAGCTTTGAAGTACCTTCCAACCCAAACCAGTCTGGGATTCTATAAAATGTGAATCACCAGTAAAGAATACAAAAACTAAGCACCCAAATGACTTAGCATCTTATTTTCAGCATCTTCTGTCTGCTAAAATGTTTACCCCTTGAGAATACTGTGTGGCAGAAGGACTCTATCCAGGATTCACTGGTGGTATTACACAACTCTGGTATTACAGTGTTACCATAACTCACACACACCCCATGCCTGTGACACTGCAAGACCTTCAATGTGGGACAAAAGACTGTGTTTGGTACAAGTTCTGCCCACTCTGCACTGAGCTTCATTGAATAACTGACTGCAGGAAAATTCCCTGTGAAACTAAAGAGAGAAAGGATCACATCTCAAACCATGGATCTAGCTCCAACTTTTCAAGCAACAAAGGAAACGATACACAGGTCTTGGTCTGTGTTTCTTTGTAGGAATCATGTCAAACTTAGTGACTTTACAATCAGATTTCCACTTCCAATAAATGTTTACCTCTCGACCCTCTCATCCCAAAATCTCAATCTGGCAAAGGAAACTGACTCTATATGTGCTTCCTGCTGGCAGGAAGATGTCTGAAAAGCTGAAACTTCCAGAAGGGGTTACTGATGTTGCACCTTCTGAGCTGGAGGAATACAAGAGATACGGCACAACTCCTTCCTTCCCCCTTTTCCTCCTTCCCTCCCTCCCTTCTTCCTTCTCTCCTTCCTTCCTTCCTCTCTCCTTCTTCCTTCCTTTCTACCCTTCCTCCTTCCTTTTTTCCTTCCACCCTTCCTTCCCTCCTTTTCTTTCACCCTTCCTTCTCTCCTTACTCTCTTCCTACTTCCTTCCTTCCTACCTTCCTCCACCTTCCAGCAGCAGTGGGCAAATGATTAAAAAACAACATAATCCAACCCTACAAATACTTCAGGAACTTTTGGGTCCATAAAAGACACACTTGATGAGTTCTTAAGTTACTCTACCAGTAACACAGAGTGATATGTATTTTGTGTAAAAAATTATTACTTCTTTACTCCTTGCTCAGTAAAAGGAGAGCAGTACTTCCATTTTATTTCATAATGATTAATCTATCCTGATATTCTCTTCTGAGACAAATCTGTCTCCAATATTTCACATCTGGCTATGGATGCATAAAGCTGTTAGCTACTGGAGATGGTAACTGCGGATGCCACAATGAATCTACAACTTTCCTTCTGAAAATGTTGAAAACCTACAATAATCCTCATCTTGCAAAACTAACTGAGACAATTAAAGAAATTTCCATTTGTTTCCTTTTCTGAATCATATTATGTAATTCCTCAAAACCCTTGGGATTTCTTTCATAAAATCAGCTATTAAAAGGAAAATGTATGCATAACATTATTTCTGCTTCAATACTTGTTCTTTTAAAACATGCTTGATTTGGAGGGGTGTAAATCCCTCCAAACCAAATTGATCTTTCACTATGTCTTATGATGCTCCAGGGCTCAAAAGTGCATTCCACTATGCACAGACGGGTACCACATTCTGAACATAGCAAAATCAAGAATTAAGAAAGTTCATGGTGAGCATAATCACAAAGCAGAAGGGGAAAAGTGGCTTGGTTATAATGTCATATTAATAGATTTTGAAAAATCTGAAAAGTATAAGGAATTAACCTTTAGCAGTAGCATAAGACTTCCAATGTTTCCACACCCACACGCAGCCCCATTAAATACTCTCCACCTGATTAAGAGCACTACGCAAGTGTGTCATAACAGCAAAGGCTCATGCTGCATCAAAATAACAAGAAAAACATGAAGGCAAATATTATCTTATTCCATGAGACTAAAAATGTTTCTACCCCAATTCAAATATGCTTATGCATAAGATGATAAAAGCTTGGATTTGAGAAAAAATACGCTTGATCTAGCAAGTAACAAGGTGCGTACAACAGAATGCTAATACATGCTTCTATATCATGACAAAAACTTTGGAAGTTACAACTGTTCAAGCATACAAAAGAATCAGGAATCCAAAGTTAGCAATATGATGCTATTAATATGATGGGATCTCTTCTGAACCCATTTAAATGGTTTTAAAAAAATTTGTGTCATAGAATCCTAGAATCCCAGACTGGTTTGGGTTGAAAGGACCTCAAAGCTCATCCAGTCCCAATCCCCTGCCACAGGCAGGGACAACTTCCACTAGACCAGGTTGCTCCAAGTCCTGTCCGACCTGGCCTTGAACATTGCCAGGGATGGAGCATTCACAGCCTCTTCAGCCAATCTGTGACAGTGTCTCACCGCCCTCACAGTAAAGAAGCTCTTCCTTATATCCAACCTAAATCCCCCCTGTCCAAGTTTGAACCCAAATACAATACAGCACAGGAATACAATACATACTCAGCCACCCATTGCAAGGAAATTGTTAAGAGAGAGAGTTAAAGCTAATATGGAACCAGTGTTTCAATGTGCTCCAGCACAGCTCCATAGGCAGACTTACCATGAACTGAGCCACTGCCTTAATGAAGAAAACCCGGTCCTGCTCTGTCTCCACATTAGGAGAAATATCAGTCTGAGGTTCATACCTGTGGCAAGAAGCATGTGTACATTCTGACAAGAAATACATGTGCAGTATTCAAGAGACTGGTTTATTTGTGAGGCAAAAAATCAAACAAGACAAGCACATATGAGACTGTGAAATAGATCTTCAGCTCCTGCTGCAGCCTCGGTGATCCAGATCCTGGAATGCATTTGTGTACAAAGTACAAAAGCTATAAAACCTTGGACACTTCTCCAGAAGGAACTGTCATGGTGAGGTCCTCGATACATCTTTTCAGTTGGTTTTGCAAAGGAGCAAAATTTAGCTGGTTCAAGTCTGTGAAAGACTTATTTTCAGAAGTAATTTACTAGTGAAATCACAAGCTGCATATATATATCAAACTAAACTTAATCACAAATGGCTTCGTGATTTGGAATATGCAATATTTGGAATAGGCATATGACTAAGTTAATGCTCCCAGTCTTTCCAGTGGTATGTTAAAGTTACTTGTACTAGATTGTTATTGTTGGTAATAATGAAACCAGACACCTTGTCCTTTAAAAGGTTATGCTACTTTCCACTCAGTCAAAATACACAAGACATTCACACTTAGATGTCGTTTTAAAGATATTACTTTCAAAAGTAAAAAAAAAAAAAAAAAAAAGACTTACAAAAAAAGCAAATGGAAAGATAGCGAAATCCTTTAAGAAAACACTAGTGAAGTGCAGAAATTTCCGGAAGTCACGAGTCTCCAGGAACCAGGTAAGAACAACAGTAAATTCCCAGTCTCAACAAAAGCTTCAGGATTTTTAGCATTCGGGCAGGCAAAAAAGCAACTTTGCTCCCAAATCACATTTGAAATTTGAGCAAGGCATATGCAAAGCAGCCTATATCTGCTTCAAAGTGTAATTAAAAGGCTTCTAGAAGCTGGAAAACATGTCTGCCTGTGTCAAGGATAACTGACCCATAACAGAAAAGAGGATGCCAGTGTTCAGTTGATATTTAGTCTGAAAGTGAAGTATTTATTAGGCTCAGCATTCCCAGTTATCTATAACAGAAGTTTCAGCTTTTAAAAGTGTTCAGGTTCATTAAAGAAGTATATTTTAAAAACAGTATTTGTTTTCTTTCAATTGCTCTGCTATTTTACTGTTACAAACTAAGGGGGACTGATGTATGTTTTTACAGGCACCAAAAAAAAACAGTAATTTAGAACCTCAGTGTAACAGCAGTATGTTAAAGAACATTTAGGTAACTTTTTTGAATGGTTGTAAGTATTTCCTTATTTTATTACAATTGCAAAGGTATTCAAACATCTAACAGGACAGTAATTAAGCTCACTGGATACTAATAGGATAGAAATAGCAAGCAGGCAAATGGCTTCAATTGTATGAGCAAATGAAAAAACTTAGTTTATTTTTTCATTTACATAGGAGAAAGAATATTATGTATAATTTGATTAGCACCTCAAGTTTCATAAATATTTACCTGAAGTCTGACAACGGGTTAAGTGGGTGTAAAACTAAAACTGGGTACTTGTAGATTAGTACTGTATCATTTGAGGGGTTTTTATACATGGCATACACATACACATACATACAGACAATACCAGGTGGAACCAATGACAATTGTAGCAACAAGGTAAGAACTAACTGCATTCTGACAAGTCCTCACCTGCCCCTTTTGAGGCAAATGTGGGTCAAATACAGGCAGAATAGTAACAGAGTTTGTAGAATACGTGAAAGACACACAGCTGCTTTTGAGCAAGTGTGCACACCTTCAAAGATGCTATCTGGGGGTTGGAACTACATGATAATAAGATCCTTTCCAACCCTAACCATTCTATGATACTTTGAAGCTCTGCCAGGACTAAGACAAAGTATGTTCTCCTTCGGCTACTAAGCCACTTACTTGTTGTTGTATAATAACAGAATCATAGAATCAACTAAACTAAAAACCCATGAACTAAACTAACTACCACATTTTCTATCTGATATTTATAAAAGTAGATCTCACAGAATGACTCAGTATCATTATGCTCCCCTTTAAACTTCTTAAAACAGTTTCACACCAGCACACCAGCCCCTTGCATACATACCACACCCTGGCAGCAGCCCCAACATGTCCTAGCTTGATCACCAACCTTTTCACTAGCCAGAAGAGCACTTCAGAAACAAGCATGAAGTTTGGGGTACGGAAACTCTCCATAGATATGAGTCGGGGATACCCCAGTGCCCTCATCATCTCAGTAAAATCTGAAAAACAAGCAAAACCAGGAATTCCTTCTTACATATTGACACGGATATTACCAAGAACGCTGGTTGCCACAGCAGGCAGTTCATTTACCGTTAGATATGCCCTGTTGAAAGTACTGTTAAAAAAAAAATAATAATCCTGAATGGATTAAAAGAGTCTTCCAATACCTCAAGGGGCTGCAGGAAATGTGGAGGACATTTTACATGTACCTGTAGGGACAGGACAAGGGGGAATGGCTTTAACCTGACAGAGGGGAGACTGAGATGAGCTCTTAGGCAGAAGCTCTTCCCTGTGTGGGTGCTGAGGCGCTGGCAGAGGGTGCCCAGAGAAGCTGTGGCTGCCCCATCCCTGGCAGTGTTCAAGGCCAGGTTGGACGGGGCTTGGAGCAACCTGGTCTACTGGAAGGTGTCCCTGTCTGTGGCAGGGGGTTGGAGCTGGATGAGCTTTAAGGTCCTTTCCAACCCAAACCATTCTATGGTTCACTAGAAAATATGCCTGAGTAAAAAGGTGACATTTTGACAAGCAATTCCCAGGGCAGAATCGAGGTCAGCAAAACTCTCTACAAAACACCCCATGAGGTTAATTAACTGGAGGCTGTGGGGTCACCAACACGCAGGGTCTGTGCTGCCCCCGTTCCCCGCGGTTATTCCTCCAGTCAGTTTAAAGGAAGGCTACAACCCCTGCAGCCCTCCTCTGAGGCACCAGCGGCCGCGCTACCTCCTGCATCCATAAATGAAACTATCGGGGAAAGCTTAACAGAGCACCGGGACCCGCGCGGCTGCTGAAGCATCAAACAGGCCGCAGAGAGCCGCGCCAGCGCCGGGAGCCGAGACCGGGGCCGGGGCCTGCCGTGCCCGTGCCATCCCCTCGCCCCAGACCCGCGGCCCTCGGCGAGGATCCTCACCGCGGACGTCGCGGAAAGACATCGCGGGGAACTCCGCCGCCGCCGCGCTGGGCCGCAACAACTCGTCTCCACGGCAACGCGCCTACGGCGCAGCGGCCGGGACAAACTGCGGCGGGAGGCGAAGCGCCATGAGAGGGTCGAGCCTCGGCCTCTCGTCTGCCTAGGGCATCCGCGCAGCAGCCGCGGCGCCTCGGCGGGGCTCTGGGCGTCCCCTTCGCTCTGCCGGGTGACGGGGACACCGAGGGACACGCTGTCCCTGCTACCTGGGCCAAACCGGGGAACACCGGCGCGTAATGGCTGTTCCCTCAGCGCTGGGAGCCGGCCCCGGACTCCCACAGGCTGGGGCGATATCCAGCCGGGGCGGGAGCTTTGCTGAGCCTGGCTTAGATGTGTTACTTGGGTACGAGCCATCACGAGTTACTTTCCAAGAACACGCAGTGCCATGTTAAACTGCTGCTGGGAGGAGAAGGCCGTGCTCCCCTGTGGGACGGCGCAGTAGTCACCGGGGGCACAGAACCCCATGCCCTCACCTCGCCTGAGCACACATAACCCATTACATCTGCATCCACGCAGTCTCCAGCCCGCTGCCCTATTGCAGGTGGCACATCCACCTCCATCCACTCTGCAGACGAGGACTGTGATCTCTGGAGGGACAGGAGCCCAGCATACAGGTCTGCTCCAGCGCTCGAGGACTGCAGGGCTGAGCGTGGGGAGCAGAGGGTGAGGACCTGCAGGAAGGCAGCAGGAACCTTCCTCTCTACAATGACACCTCTCTGATGGGCACCCAGAGTGCCACAGCCACAGAGACAGCAACTGCAGTACATGGAACGGCCGCACAAGTGGTTCTGCACAGCCCAGGCGGCACATGGCAGCGGAGCCAGGGACACCCGCAGAAAGCAGTGTCCCCAGGCCAGCAGACCTGTCAGCTCCCGCCCACACCTGACACCGACCGCTCCTGTCGGCGGCTTCCTAACAAACCTCCTAAGGGCTCTTGGTGTCCCGAGTTTGCCCCTACACGCACACCCAACAGCAGTTTTCATGAGGCATAAAGCAAGAACAGCATGGCAGCTTCTCCGCTAATGCTCAGTGGTTTCAGATGTCCTAAAGGAGCAGGAGCTCTGATCATGAGACTGAAAAACACCGGAAGGAGCACCCACAGCTCTTACTGACAGGGTCATCAATATCACGGGGTGGAATGAGTTAATTTAGATGTCAGGCTGATCTATGGACATCTCAGGACATTTTACAGAGCAGTTGGTAGTTTCCCAGTTCTAACTGCCCAAGCATATATAAAGCACGCACACATATTGAGTAGCACCATATTCACACAATCAAAAATTAATCAAAAGCAAGGAAATAGCAATAAATCCTAAAAAGAATAAATATTGAAATGAAGTGGTTACATTAGAAAATAAGAGATGTAATTAAAGGCTGGGTTTCTTATGCCAGAAAACTCAATTCACCAGTTCAAGAACATATCAGCCATCCGGTAACCTGGGCAAGGGACCAGAGAAGGAAGGAAACGTTCTGCTCTGCTGCTCTGTTACATTGACCAGCAAAAGGGAGGTGGGATGAAATTACCTGGGGGGAAGCCAAAGCTGCAAAATAAATCGAATAAATTGGTAGTGTGCTGTTTACCTCAGCTCTTCACTTTATATAGATATCATTAATATTTATATATTAGGCAGCACAAACATACCACTGGAGATGGAGTGGATGCAACTTTGAACTAAATAGGGACCCAAACAGGAAAAACTGCAGCCATGGAGCCATGGCAGGAGCTCAACCACATCCATGAGGGCTAACACTTTGCTGCCTTCCCACCTCCAGGAACCCACACCCAAAGGAAGCCATGCCACACAGCTCTGCATATTCCCTAGACACATACACTACCCTCCATGGAAACAGCTCACCATTCCATAGCCCAGCTCACACTTTTGAGAGATGCTCCCTTCCCACCCCCCACCCCCCCCCCAATCCCCCCCATCACTCCAAAACCTGGAAATTTTGTTGGAAAGGGAATATATTGTGAAATTTTGGCACAGGGTTTTATGGCAATGTGTGAGCTATCAGACAACATTGCAGGCTTCTGAGTACAGATGGTAGCACCTTCGCTGCACATCTGCAGTGCCTGGTCTCTATCCAAACCTCTAATTTCGTTTAGATTATATTATTTCTTTTGAGCTGCAGGAAGCCACAGCTGCTGCTGGGAGCCTGGTAGAGGTGTAGGAGGAAGCTAGCTGGGGTGGCAAACACCCTCCAAGCAGTGTGTAAGCAGCCAGCAAGCACCGGCTGCCATGCAGGCTGCTCTCCAGCAGAAGGTGGTGACTCCACTTTGCAGCCTGAACCACTGGTGGTAAGGAATTAGCAGTGAACAGCTTTGCTCTAAATCACAGTTGGGTATGACAGAAGCATTAGCTATTTTTTAACACCTCATGCAAAAACAGCCCTCTGCCTGTTTCATATGCTGTGCATGTGAATTTGGTGCTTCCCAAATCACGTTAGCACTGACAAGCGCTATGCATGCTGCAAGCCCTTTTGCCCCCAGGCTATTAGCATCATCTCATACTATTTACTGCCTCTGTTGTGGTTTCAGGACTCTAACCTCTTTTAGCCCCTTCTCTCTGGCTCTCACCAGTCTCCAAACACACTGCTAAAGTCAAGTCATCCTTTGTCTCATGAGCATCCATTAATCAAAGATTTCACCAAGAAGTCATTGACCTGGGCAGCTGAACATCATTGATCCAGACTACATGCCATCAGATCCCGTTCAGCTGCTGCAGGTCTGGTTAGCACAATGTACTTTGAAGTATTCCATCATTCAAATATCCATCCCATCAGACAGCCTGATGTCTCTGTGTCAGCTCCCAGCTTAGCAAGTACAGTGCCCAAGTTTGTGGTGCTCGACCTCTCCACGCACTGGGAAAACCTAATTGTGTGGACCAAGGCAGGAGACAAGCTCTGCGGTTAGAAAGACGGGAAGGAGAAAACAACTCACTGCAAGGATGGCCAGACCTTGTAGCACCCCACCAGCCTCCTCTGCCTGTAACTCTTCTCTCTTTTGGGGGAAAAAGAACAACTTGGCCACAACTGCGCATACAGGATTGTTATTGTCATTATCGTCATTTTAGGATCAGCAAAATAAATCTAACAATTTGTTGTTTGAGACCTATTTCACCAAACCCTTTACACCTAAACCAGTGTTATCCACCTCATTCATGGTCAGAGTGTCCTGGATGTCAGCTAGTGGTTTTTCATTCCTCCCTATCTCACTTCAGCAGTGCGGGTTGTGCCCCCTGGCAGCTGCTCCCCACCTCGGGTTGCACACAACCCTGTCCCTTCAGAACATCCCTGTGGTATCTGTCAGGTTCTCAACATATAAATAACTACCTCCATCAGTCTTTCCCTGAGCTTTTACTTTCAGCCATCCAAAATTTTCCTGCAGATAGATAGAGTTTGGGGGGTGGCTACATACTCTTTAGTTCTTTCCCCAAGTTGTGTTTTTTGGCAGAGCTTGGCATTAAAGTTGTTACTGCATGCTTCTAACTGAAATCGTCACATCCTTACATAAAAGTACCTAGGCAGATTGGCCCAAGGCGTTTTTTCCTCCAGTAACAAGGAATTCTAGCTTTCTGAACAGTTGTTTCAAACTATTCCCATGGGGTAAACAGTTACATGGGGTTAGGCTTGCCCGGAGATGCGGCAGCAGATGAGTGCCACAGGCTAGTTGTGAAAACAGGGTTTGTTCCAGCTCATAGAGAGCCCTAAGGAGCAGCTGTGATGTCTCTGCCCCTTAATTGGAAAGAAGATTTGTTTTCATGCCTTAAATTTCAGAAAGAAACTGTGCAGCAGCCGGGCGAGCAGTGCTGAAGGGGAATTTGGGAAGGAGTACAAGGACAGGTAGTGGCATCACCACCACAGCTCATTTCCCAGTGCACTTCTGTGCAGTGACCTGCAAAGCAAAAGAGCTTCAGGATTTTCCTGCTCTTTTTTTTTTTTTTTCTGATATTGTCTTACCTGGCTATTCCCACACTGCAAATTCAGTCCTTGGTCCCAGGGACAACATGACAAGGACATAATGTGCTGTTGAAAATATGATCAAGTGAGAAAACA